ACAAGAAAAAATACTCTTGATTCAATCAGATTTAAGCTTAAATCAAGAACCAAGCCTCTTAATTTGAGCGGATTTCCTTTTGATTTAAGCTTAAATCTGATTGAGTCAAGAGTCCAGTTTCTTGTCAATGTTTTAAGAGTCTGGACTCTAGATCTAATGTGTTTTTTTTTTTTCCACTGCACGAAGCGAACATTTTCTAGTCTCATCCACACGTCTTTGAGACGAAAAATGAGTAAAAAAACATTATTTGAAATAACTTCAGTCGAATACAATTATTTTTTGGTTCAAGTGACCTTTAACTTTCTCATGGGATCCATCGGAATGGAAGAAAATGAAAATCACCTATCCGGCTGAAAGAGGATGCCCAGCCGTCACTTCTGACTGCAAATGCTGATTTGCGGCGTATAATATTAGAATGAGCATATCATTCCAGTGCTGATATTTTCCGAATGTTGCTGAACTTCTTCAACCGCGCTACCGAGCTGAGCGAGAAACCACAACCAATATAGTGGCACCAGTCAGTGAATTAATTGACGAAAATAATCATCGGAATGATTCTCCTGATTTTTTCGTAGAATCTATTTTGAGTCCGCACTAACTGTGTTTAACAATTGACGTGTTGAAAATGTGACCTTTTGAATACCCTGCTCTCAAAAAGAATGAAAATTATGTAATCTTCTGTCGATCGTCTTAGTCTAAGGATGACTCAAAATTCAGCCAAAATGAGGTGATTCAGGTCTCTCAGTCCAGTTCCGTTTTTAGTGTGCTCACTGGAGAGTTAAACGTGACATTATGGTGCTATTGTGGAAATTTTTGGTGCTTATTAGTTGAATTTCTCATTTATACGGGTCTCTATTCCGTATATTTCGTAAGTTCGATTTTTGTTGTGATAAACGATGGATACCGCTGAAGAGTCAATCAGACATTTTTTGAAGACTTTATGAGGATAATGTGGCAACCCGTTTCAGGTAAGAAGGTAAAATATTTCTTCAAGATCTACGAAGTTCAGTATATTTAACGCTTAAATAACATTATACTGACCAATATTTTTTTCATTAGAAATCTAAGCACAGATGAAAGTACTGAATTTTATTTTTACATAAAACTATCTATTTATACTTTTATTTTAAACAACCAATTTTTATTTGATTTAAAATCATAAAAACATGTCAATCAATTTTGAGTATTCAAGTATCAAGAGTGGGAGGGTTCTATTTTTTCACTTTTTTCATTTCATTTAGTTATACAGGCCTATTTCCTTACGCTTTGCCTGTTCTCTGTCATTTTATAGCTAACCTCCTATACGTTCTGGTTACGTATTCTGGTTACTACGTGACTCAGGATTATGTTATTTTCATTCAATTCGGGCTTTTAGGACACGATGCGGTCCTAGGATTTGGATACGATTTTAGTGATCCTTCACATATCGATGATGTCATCTGTGCCACATTCGAAAGAAAATGTCCGCACTTATGGTGTGATTGAAATGGTATCGGCTAAATTCACAGTTCAAATGAGAGCCTTGAAAGACAAGTGGGGTAAGTGCAGTTTTTGAAAAAATTCAGATAATAACGATTTCAGCTAAAACTAGTCTTTATTTTTATATTCTGTGAAAAATTCACAATTTTTAAGCATCAAAAATAGAGTTTGAATTTTCTTTTCGCCAAAATTAAGGCTCCATGTAATTTTGAAACTTTAAACGCGTATTTATTGAAGTAGAACAAACTGCACTTATGCGACTTGTCCTCCAAGCCCCTGAAATAAATGTCCCTGAATGAAGTACATACTGGAAAATGAGGCGATTCTTAAAATGTATTCCTTGAAATAAAAATCCTTTAAAATACTTCAAATAGTATATATTATTTGAGAGTTGTAAATCACAACGTATTATACACTTTTCTTCACGAGCGTTTTATTTTCAGGTATAGGTATACGTTGTTCCTAAGTTAAGCAAAAAAATCAATTCCTTTCAGCGGAACGCTACCTGCGCGATCGTGTTTGAGGTCAAAATTTAGACTAACTTTCTTATCAAGTGCAAATTTGCTTACTCATTGCAGAAAATAAAATTAGTGGGATTATACGAATTAGATAAGGAGAAACATGTTTTTTGAGTTTTTCCCGATTTATTTGTTCAGTTATCGAGCTGCCAACGTCGGCGCCGCATATTTCAAAAAAACTTGGCGATCTTCGCACCTCTTTCAAAATAAAATTTAGTTTCAAGACGAATCTTACATTTTCATTTTAAGCACCGTCTTCTTTGTTGTTTTTAAGCGTAGGATTTAAATACTTCTGCAAAGCTCTGAAGATCGTTTCATCGTCATATATTCACAGTGCTAATATAGACTCGGACTGTGCTTTTTTTAAGTCTGCACTTGCGAAGAGGGCGTCCTTGTGCGATTTGTCGGTGATCTGCAATTTTCCACGTTTTTTTTTTCTCTCTTTTTAAATTACCGTTTCGGAGCAGAAACGTCTTCCGTTCGTACGATTCTTGACTCTTAAAATCAGCCCGAGGGAAAGGAAAACTAATTGATAATTTTGCGCAGCTTTATCGCAAGTTGCTACGTTGCACTGTTCCCAGATAATGTTGCAAATCAATACTATTCCCCACTTAAACCCAAGGCAAATGTCCACATTTTAGTGGAAGATTTGGTAATCTTGCCACGTCGAATGAAGCACCTGAACTTAAATGTTGCTCTGATATGAGAAAAACGTCGTATGAAACGATATCCTGTCAGAATATATCCAAATGGTTCATAAAGGACCGAAGGGTACGTACTTCTTCGGAGTTCCCATCCTCTCATGACACATCGCGCTTAAAATGCGGGCGCTCATTCACACTCATAGGCATGATGAATTTTAAAATTACGTCGATTTCCGCTTCAAAGGTGAAAATTCCACCGAAAGTGCAAATTCCCCCGATTTATATCAATTTTAACAACAAGCGAAAAGCCCGTGGCTGAAGTCTTGGGTCTTGATGTTTCGTCATAAATTAAAATTTCCTCATGAATTGAGTATAATCCTCTGGAATTCACTGGGGCGAACCGGTATTGTTTTGATCGAAAATTATCCATCCGTTACCGACGATCGGGTGCCATCTCAATCCACCCGTTTGGTAAGAAAGCTCTTATTTGTGTGTGTGTCGTAAGTGAGAGTGACATTTGGATTACATTTTGCAATAAAGGACCACTATTTCTCACTTTAGAAACAGCGTACATGCCATTGGTTTCTCTATGTGATTTTACGGCAGAGCCAGAAATAGTGGTTCCCTATCGCAAAATGTAATGCATTTCACGAAAACACCATTATTCGACCATTTGAGAGCTGAGTTGCCTACCCTGAAAATTGAAGGCGAACTGAAATGACGTTAATGTAATCTACTTTCGTTCGGAAAAGAGCTATTTTTTGAGTGTTTCATGTAGCAGTGGCAAAGATAGGGAGAGGGGGCGGCGGAGGGTCTGGACTCCCCCTCCCCCCTTAGCCTCGTTTATTGTACCTTTTTTTTTATCTTTGGAGGGCAGACCAGACCTAAAATATTATCAGGTATGTACACAAAATATTGTAAATTCAATGTAAATAATGTAAAAAGTGCTACCCTATTGAGGTGCTGTACACGAAGCGAGGGGCGCAAAAGGGATTTTAGAGAGAAAAACCCCAATCTAACCTCTAAACCTAGCAAAAACATTTGCAACGTGTGAATGTTTTAGGCTTGGGATGGAACATGTCAAAATCGAAAATCACTCGTTTCCAGGCGTTTCCTGGCCTCCCGAATGCATTCCCAAAAGTTTCACAACTTTCCATGAAATTTCATGAATTGGGCGTGTTTCTATCAAACAGGACTATATGCAGAGGGAAAGATTGGGTGTGCTCGTTCGTGCTCGGGCCCTAAGGATGAATTGGAAATATAGAGCGCCAGTGACGTCAGCAGCAACGACGAGAGAAACGACGATCAGGGCGGTCTTTAACTCATGAGCCCTGTCCACATGGCTATAAATATATGCCCACGGTTCATGGGTGCTATCTTAGTTGGCTCACGGTTCCGTTTGCTAAATTGGAGAAGCGGGATTTCACGTTCTGTCAAACGGAACTAGTTGCACAGTGTAAGAGCCGTGGGCATGTATCTAGAGCCTTGTGGACAGAGCTCATGAGTTAAAGGCCGCGTCGTTGATCGTCGTTTCTCTCGCCGTTGCCGCTGACGTCACTGGCGCTTTGTATTCTCCATTCATTCTTACGGCTCGAGCACGAACGAGTACACCCCATCTTTCCCTCTGCACATAGTTCTGTTTGATAGAAATACGTCCAATGAAACTTGATGAAATTTTCCATCCCTGTTTAAACGGGGATTTTACTCAGCACTGCTGAGTGGGCGCATGGTGCTCGTTGCCGGCTGCACAAAGGTGTGAAGCACAGTAGCCGTGGAAGATACCCCTCTCAAAGTCTCGAGCGTCCAAGTTGGCGACGGGGACGGTGCGAGGATCTCTCGGCGGGAGTTGTGGTTGTCCTCCAAGTCGCGCCACCGCCACCGCTCGCAAATTCAGTTAATCACCATCTTCCGTTCGAATGTTTACTGTCCACAAGCGAATGAGTTAGCGTCGCTCGTCTCCTATCACCTCGTGTGGCTCGCCGCGATCCTGAAGCATTCAAAAGTTTCGACTCCCCCCCGGGTCATCAGATCTCTATTTCCCAGTCTCTGTGAGTCCCGTCTCTTCCTCTTTTATGTCGTGAATTCACCGAGGGAATAGAGATGCGCTCGCGGTACGCCCTCGCCGCCGTGTGACCAGAACCCGATCCCTGGGGATATTCTTTCGGATGCTCTCGAAGAATCGGTGTGACAAGTGTTTTTTCGGGTCAGTGGAAGTGACATCGCTTTATTCCGTTATACATATAATTATATTGAAAGTACATTTCCAAATCGTTCGCATAAACTGTGAAGTGTTTAGCCCCATCCGCTTTTTTAAATTTTTTTTATATGTATACACATACACACGAATATATATATATATATAATTGATATTAATTACGCCGTTATTGTTTTTAAAGTTTTGTTCGTTTTTTCGCTCGCGCATTTGGGTGCAGCTGAACGCGGAATTTTGTTTTTTCCCAGGAGTAAAGTCGTAGAAAGTGGTTTTAGGCACAGTTAACTAGATTTCTTTCGAGTGAGCCGGTTTAGGTCACTAACTTATGAATAGATTGTGAAGATGCGGGATTTAATAAGCATATTCAAACGAAATCGCACGGTGTACAGTGCGGTGAGCACAAGCGAAAGGAGTCCTTACCGTGGAACGACAGCGCCAAACAACGGACGACACAGGAGTCTTAACACATCGGCCGTCTTCGGCCGGTTTGTTGAACGCGGGAATTTCGAAAAAACTAGAAGTGAGTTCCTTTCTGATACCTATTATTCAGTCACTCTTACATTATTCGTCGTTTCCCCAACGGAAGAGCCTAACTCCATCCCAAGATTACAAAATCCACTCGAACATTTACAATTTTTACAAGTCAGTTTTTTTGCAAAATGTGTCTAATTTTTGCTTAAGATCAGAAAAGAAATCAGTAAAAATTTTAGATGGAAATGCCTAAAATTCTCCTGGTAAAATTGTACTTAATGTTTGAGGGGACATTTGACAATATTAAATTTTTGTCGTGTTCTTTCATGAGGGGAACGACGTATTGACTTTCTTTCGCAATTGGTTTTTTTTTATACTCCTTTTTTTCTTTTTTCTTCTTGAAATTTGATTGATAAATTTAAAATTAGAGTTTGGCGACGAAGCTCAGTCGCCACATGATATTTGAAGTTTGTTTGCAAAATTTGAAATGTCAACTCTATTCGAACGAAATTTGGGGCATTTTTTGTCCCACATTCTGCAGGCGAAAAATGGGATAGGGCTGTCGAAAGACAAATTCATGAGCACATGAGAAAATGAAAGAATAATTTGTATTTTAAGAATATTTAAAAAGTTCATGCTCAGAGCGGTATGGGTGAAAAACTTTGTATCGCGCGCCTGGTGCGTCTACGTGGTAAATCCAGCCCTGGTTCAAGGATTTTCAAAGTTTCACCGACGGCACCCTACTATAAGCTTTTTTAGGGCCCACCGACACCACATGCAGCTCCTGGCCTACGACCATTTTCTTTTTAATTACTTGGGTGATGGTGCCAAAAGTCCTACCAGCACAGTGACAGCTAAGGAAGATGCCACAACGGAAACGTAGAAACTGTGAGCTGCGAAGCGATTGAAGCGAGGAATAAATTATTAAGTCTTGGAACAAAATGGGCTACCAGGTCGTTTGGAGCAGAACTTTTTATAGATATACTTGTAAAAAAAAAAACCAAAAAAAAAAACATGGGCTTCAAACATTCATGGGCGTAACTGAGAGGGAGGGGGCTTCCGCTACGCCCCCCCCCCCAGAACTGTAATTGAACCCTTCGAAGAAGTACATAAAGTCTACATAGACCTAGATATAGATTTTCCAGGAACATTGACGCTTCTTCACTCCGACTAATCATGCTTCAAAAGTTCCGTTTCAACTTTTGTGGACAAAAATCGCGATAAAAAGTTCGTGAATTAAAATTTACAAGCAGATTTTTGTGAGATCGGCAGGGATCATAGGTGGACTCCATTTTGCAATTTTGAACTACACTATCTGGCTGAGTTTAGAAACGACGTATGTAACATTAGTTTTCCTACGCTCATAACCGTTTTTACGGATGGGCTAGAAATTGTGGTTCGTAATTGCGAAATGTCGTCCAATTTATTGATTCTTTGTCAGCGGAATTCGATCTCGGCTGGAGAAGAGTTAAATCCCTTCATATTCTTCTTCTTCTCTCTCATAATCCATCAATGGAGAACTAGCATGCAAATTTTTTATAACTTCATCCGAAAGTGCTTAAAGAGTTGATTTCTCAGTATTTTTTATACTTTTTTCTGATATGGGAAATAGTATAAAAATAGATTTAAAAGTGAGAAAATGCACCGCCTATAATGACGTTATCTGGCGGCATTTCCCATTTAAACACACGTATTTTAGCAGATTAGATAATGTTGTCATATCTTCTCCAATAATTGTTCAATTCATGAGCCAACCCTGGTAAAAATTGGCAGTAGAATCTGTGTTCCAAAATACCATGGACCTACGGCCGGCTGTAAGATTTCCAATAGCTTCTATAGCCGGCTACACAATTTCTTATAGCCTTTTATAGCCAAATTAAGCAACTCACAGTCAGGCGATAAAGTGTATGCTAAACGTCACGAATTACGGATGCTAGGACTTAGTGAGTTTTTGGACCACTGCTCTCTTTTTGGGCCGTAGTATCTTGATTTATTTTGCGAGGAAAGCTCCATACTTTTGATAGATGCCTGTCATTCCCAATATATTAGAGCGCCTTCAGATACTGTGCAATACCTCTGGTGGTGAAATAGTTGCTTCAAGCGCCGTGGCACGCTGCGGTGCGGCAGGCGGGCAGCCAGCGCGAAAGGCGCATTGGCGCCTACAAACCCAACAGAGATACCTCACGCGTTGCGCAATGCGTGAAGTATCCCTGTTAGGTTTGTAGGCGCCAGTGCGTCGCCGCTCCGCTTTGTGTTAGGCTCTAATACTTAATCTGGCGGAGTCAGCGTTATTCAACTCATGATTTTGAAATGTTTGCACGTCCTGTATGGATTATTCTCATTTTAATTGATGAAAAAAAATATGTATTAAGGAAAATAATATAACGTGTGTTTTGTAAATATTTAGGTGGTTCCTTATCAAACTTAATGATTTCCAAAGCACATGAATTTCTACACAATTTCTTATAGCCTTTTATGATCGATGGCGGAAAAGCAACAGCCAGGCGATAAAGTGTGAAGCCCGGCTATAGGAACTATAGCCCGGCTGCATACTTTTTTATCGTTTCGTATAGCCCGGCCGTATGATTTTCTCCGCACTCTACAGCCAGCTATATGATTTTCTGTTGCCCTCTTTAGCTGGCTATAAAAATTCCTATAATATTTTGAAACGCAGCTTTTATCGTCAATTTTTACCAGGGAAGGGTATCCTCGTGTTCAGTTCACTGAGTAGTTTCCACTTAACCACGAATTTCATCAAATTTTAGACACCTGCAAATTCTCTTTTGGTCGCGTCTTTTCATTCTGCGCAATAGATTACTTCCCTGCATAATACACCAGTTCGTTTTGTCGCACTTCATGTGCAGGTCATAAAGTTGCGAGAAGTAAAAGTCGTTCTGTCTTCTTACATTCGAAAACAGTATTGGCTTTTGAGCGGCGCGCATTGTCTGGGTAAAAAACCTCCAGCCATAGTGCAGGGCTCAGCATCGAGATTCTCAAATTTGCATGAGAGATTTATCTTGGAAAATATTCCGTGACTTTTTCCTACGGGATGAAGAGTGCAGTCTCTCGATTTATGATGACCGAATATTTCCACTGATATGTTCGCGAGCACAAGTGGCAATCATTACACGTTGCGACGTTGTTTTTCATTAATTCAAATTCATTTTACGAGAAAATAATCGATGCTACACGAGGCAGACTGATTTAAAGGATATTGATCGTTTTAAATACATTAAAAAAGACACAACCCACGTGTGCGCCAACTTGCGAGAATTGCCTTTGGTCCCATAAATACAGGGTACCTAATTAAGGGTTGGGTCCGATACTCCTAGCGGTAGAACCCGGATATTTTCCACCATTTCAAAGTTACAGCGAAATTCCGGGTTTTTTGGGTCCCTACTCGTAGAAAATAAAGTACTTTCGAATATATTTCTACTTATATATCTATATTAACTACTCAAATTATTAATCCCTTATCGACGGAGAAACTACCCTGGCGATAATCTCGTTCTCGGTGTTTAACAGTCTCTTCCATTTTGTTTTTTTAATGGAAAACAAATCAGCACGTATCATCCCTTCGCAAGGGACGATACCTTCCTTTCCAGATTTTTCTTCGCAAACAGAGGAAAAATCACTGAAGTTTTCAAGGATTGAAGTTGAATGGTTTTCCATTTAAATAATAAAGCATGACAGGAATTAAACAACGTCGCAAGCCAAGATAAGAGGTCTCGTAGTTTCACTGACGGTATACATAATTCATGACCTAAAAATGAAGTGCTCTGGTAACATCACAAATTTTGTCTGCAGACATTTTCATAAAATAGTGACGTACTTTGGTCTTCGTCTAAATTCCTCGGAAGAGTATCAAATATTTAAGAGATTGGTCGTTTTGATTTATGGTTACCATTTCTTTGCTAATGATTTTGCAGAGCATTGAAATACTTCGGCGGAGGCGTATACTAAAAAATCAACTTGTAATAACACCTAGCACTTATGCACCTTTGTCAGCATCATGAAAAATTCATACGATAATCTTGATCTATTTCATTGAATATATACACTTTCACTCTCTGTGAAGTGCAGTCTTATTCTCGCGACGAATAAATTTACCAAGCTTTTGACGATCAATGAAAAAAATATTTTTAGGTCATAAAGAGCTCTTGGGTTATTTATTTCGCAATATGTCTTCCACTTTTCACATGTCCTCAAAGAAAAATCACAATAATTTCATGAAGGCCTCAATCATACATACAAATAGAATCGAGAGAGAAAAATAGAGATTCATTAAAAACACTCATAACAACACTAGACTGCACCAGATAGGTCGCGACAAAACCGATATGTTAGGTATTTCAACCGGTGTCATTTAAATGGACTGATAGCCGTAGCGCGCATAGGCAAAACATGGCTTGATGCCTCTATAATGATGTCAGTGGACACCGCTAAATTTTTAAAGCTTTGGCAATAAATAGTTTTTGTATGAACGCACGTAAGCACATCATTATTGTAATTATAGACCTAGAGTAAATGTTCAAATCTGTTTTGAAGCACTGTTAAGTACCGAACGCTTACCATGAATGGGCGGCTAAGAATGTCGTCCAATTGACTAAACTGCTTTGTCACTAAAGTGTAAGAGTTTAGGAAATAAACTGCTCTCCTGTGTAGTTAAACCGTTACAATGTAAAAAAATGCTGGTTTCGTGTGGTAATCATAACTTTTATTTAGCTCTCTGACTGCTAAAATGGTCATTTTGAAGATTAACAGAGCTGATTCCCATGATTTTTTGGCTACCAAACAAATCTTACGAGGGTATAAAGCACCTTCAAAAGATCGCCTTTGAAAAAGATCGCTTTTCGGAGAAAGGAAAAGCCGAAAGTGCAGGTGTTTCCGCATACCTGTCATGTAAAGGAAAAACGCCGAACTAGCCATCAGACGTTGCCATATCTCCTTCAATAAATATCGAATTTATCGGGAAAATTGTCAAAATTTTTCTTTAAATTTTTTAGATAATTTTGCCCATTATTTAATCTAAAATATCTGAGAATTTCA